GTTCATCGCTGAGGTGCTGTTTGCGGTGACCAGCATGCTGAGTTTCACTCGCCTGGCCTACATCCTACCAGCACACGAGTCTCTTGGTACCCTGCAGATCTCCATTGGAAAGATGATTGACGACATGATGAGGTATTCAGCTGTGTCGTGTTGATTATAAAGATTAGTAGTATCTTGAAGGAACACTTTGCTCAAGATGCTTCTTTTTCTCTCCAGATTTATGTTCATTTTGGTGATCATTGGAACTGCCTTCCTGTGTGGCGTCAACAATATCTATGTCCCATATATGATTTCACCAAATCTTGGAAGGTATTTTGTGTTTTATCCAATTGGATAAAGCTGCAGAAATCTAATCAATGAGTTGAGTTTGAGATAATCTTCATAATGGAGCAACGCCACATCTGTTTACATTTACAGGCTAAATGAAACCTTCAGCTTCCTCTTCTGGACCATGTTTGGTATGGTCGACCAGTCCTATGTGGACATGCCCGAGTTTGTTTTGGCTGAGTTTGTTGGCAGAATCCTTTATGGCATCTACACTCTGATCATTGTCATTGTACTGCTAAACATGCTCGTTGCCATGATCACCAACTCTTTTCAGAAGATTGAGGTAAGCCTGAAGAACTGACTCTGGTGTAACATATGTGCAGTAACAATATAAGCTTGGTGTTTCACTTACATTGTTCATCTCTCTAGGATGATGCTGATGTAGAGTGGAAATTTGCCCGTTCAAAGCTCTACCTGAGTTACTTCAGAGAAGGACTGACTATGCCTGTCCCTTTCAACATCATCCCCTCTCCAAAGGCCATTTTCTATCTTTTAAGGTTGTTTTCAGCTCTTATTTGATGGAGTCCATTATTGAGGAGTACAAAACAAAAGAAAACAAGCAATTGGCATTTGATATTTTTGAAATAATAAAAAAAAACGTTAAAAAAATGTATTATTAATGTATTATTTTATTACTTATTCAAGTATTATTTCTATTTTATTTTTTAAATTTAAGTAACATTATAAAAGTGCATTAAATGTTTAAATATTTATTTATCATAATGTATTATTAATGTATTATTTATTGTTACATTTAACTTAGTTTGAAATAAATTAAGCTTTTGTTTATTTGTCAGTTTGAAAAGTAATTTTATTTATTATTTATTATTTTTATCTCAATAAAAAATATATTATAATCAAATAAACAGTTATTTCTTTGTCAATTTGAATTACATTTCATTTTAAAACATTAAATAAATAAATGTTGTTATTTGTCAGTGTGACAAGTGATTTATTTACTTTTTTTAATTCATAAATTACTAAATTATTAATTTATTCCATTTTACTTTTAAGTGGCACTCAGTTTAGTTTAAACAAATTATTAAGGAGAAAAATGTTGTTTTGATCCCATTGTTTTGTTTATTTTTTTCTTTATATTTTAGAGGAATTTTCAGACGGATCTGCTGCTGCTGCTTCAACTGTAATTCTGCTCCAGACTACCCTGCACTTACGTCTATGGTACACTTTTCAGTCTTTCAGGATTACAATTCACCATTACTCTATATTATGTTTTACATGCATATGCTGATGTGCTATTCATTGCTATTTTTGACAAGAATTGATAATAAATGACCAACTATAGCATGTTGGGAAAAAAAATCTATGCCTCCTATGTCTCTTCTGGAAATGGAACACTGAAGGATGACGTGGGTCCAGGGGAGAACCGCATTCCCTACAGACAGCAGGTCATCCGTGCTCTGGTTCAGCGCTACATAGAATCTGCCAGGAGAGAGTTTGAAGAGACAAAACGCAAAGGTAAGACTCACAAGGTTTTGTTAAAGACTCCATAAAATCTGATTGGATTTATTTATTCTGAAAGTTGTTATAATTTGCTTTTAGCAGACATTTTAAATATATCAGCTTCTATTTCTTTCAATAATATGTCTTGTTCCTAGGACCATACACTGTTTTTATAAGCATACTCCTCCCCCAGTACCACCTGCAACCAACCCTTCTTTCAATGGCAACACTATTAACATCAGAATTAATCTGTGTAATTTGAATAATATATAAAACCAAAGTTAGACAAGTGACAGTAGTTATGCAGATGCCTTATTGATTATCGTTATTATCTCTATATAAATATTATACATTAGTTATTCAATTCTGTGCTAGCTACTGTATTGCATGTGTTTTCAGTTAAATTTTGCATTATTAAGACATTAACACCAGGCAATTATAGGAATTAATAAACATTTTACTCCTGAAATGGCCACATTTCGAGTAACTACACATGACGTTGCAGCCGTCAGGTAGTAACGGAGCTCTCAAAAAATTCAGTTTTGACAAGTTACTATTTACAAGATACAATTCAGGTTCTTCAAAGAAAAAAAGAAAGTAAATGGGATTAATTTAAATGAGAAATATCTTGTTTTTTAGCCATTTTGTCCTGTTTTAAATCATTTATAAGTCACCTTGAGGCTCTGGCCCCCTTTATACAGCGGAGTATATAAACTATATTCATACTATAGTTTTCACATGCACTGAAAATGCTGAAATGATCTGGAATGTCTTTCCTCCAGACGTTGGGAACAGGATCACAGAGCTGAGCAAAGTGATTGGCCAGCTACATGTTGAAATGAAACAGATTCAAACGAACGCGTTTGACTACTCAGACAACACCAAAGGAGACCCGTCAGGAGGATCTTCTTTCCTGGGAAAGTACATCCTTGGAGCCAAAAACAACTTCAAGGGCTTCAACAGCAACGAGAGAAAGACTGTTCCGTTACATGAGCCTATACACCATGAAGAACCAGCAGCGGAGACTGTAGAAGAGAAGGACTTGCAGGAGTCACCGACCGCTGACACAGAGCCAGACAGGAAATCAAATGAAGAGCAAAACAGTGAGGGAGAAACAGATAATGCTGTGGAAGACATGAATGAGACAGAGGAGGGAGAAGATGAGGGGGACGTGGAGACGGGAAATGATGGTGCCACTAAGATTAGCATGGAGGGAGAAGAGGAGGAGAGTGGTGCTGAAAAGAATACAGATACAGAGAATACAAGTGAGACAGTCATAGATATAGAGTCCAATACAGATGCTGAAAGTGAAGCTAGTGGAAAAAGAGAAGATGAGATGATGGTGGAGGAAACCAGTGATAATGTGGAGGAATTAAATGCAGAGGCGACAGGAGGAACAGATCTAAATGAAGCAGAGACAGAGGAAAACGGAGAGGTTGAGGAAAGTAATGGAACGACTGAAGATATAAAAGAAGACGTAGGCCTAGTTGAAGTCATCAGTGAAAATGCAGGTGAGGGCATCAAGATTGACCTGAATCAGACAAGCCTAGTGAGTTTCTTAGCAAAGAGGATAGAGGAAAAGCTAGAGAGGAATTTTACTTTCATTGGAAACCAAGTATCATCTCCAAGCGGCAGCGATGACTCCCAAGACACCGGTTTTGGTTCTCAAGTATTTGACCTCTCAACTAGCAGTCCTTAATGATTGGAATCATTTGTTCCAAGATTAGTTCGAAATGACTAGCTTATGAGAACCATGAACCTAGCTGAGAACATTTTTTTAGTGTTTTAAGATATTAAAATGCTTTGCTACAGTGGCCTCAGAAAGTATTTAGACACTTTTGTCACACTGAAAATGTCTG